CTCTAATATGTATATATTCCATACTTTCTTCATCCATTTTTCAATTGAAGGGCATCTAGGTTGTTTCCAGGTTCTGGCTATTACAAACAATGCTGCTATGAACATAGTAGAGCATATATTTTTGTTGTATGATAAGGCCTCTCTTGGGTATATTCCCAAGAGTGGTATTGCTGGGTCCAGGAGTAGGTTGATCCCGAATTTTCTGAGAAACCGAAACACTGATTTCCAAAGTGGTTGCACAAGTTTGCATTCCCACCAGCAATGGATGAGTGTACCCCTTTCTCCACAACCTCTCCAGCAAAGGTTATCATTGGTGTTTTTGATTTTAGGTTTTGTTTTTTTTGTTTGTTTGTTTTTGCTTTCTGAGCTAGGTTGTCATCTCACTATGCAGCAGCTCTGCTAGTCTGCAACACACTGGCCTGACATCCACAGAGATTAGCCTGCCTCTGCCTCCCAAGTGTTGTAATTAAAACTGAGCTTTTTAGATGTAATTATGGAATTGTGGCTTTAATTTTTTAGGTACTTATCCATCACAGATTTAAAACCAACAACAAAAAAAAGTCAAACAATGGTGGTACACATCTTTAATCCCAGTACTCGGGAGGCAGAGGCGGGTGGATCTCTGTGAGTTTGAGGCCAGCCTGGTCAATGAAGAGAGTTACAGGACAGTCAGGGTTACAGAACAGAGAAACCCTGTCTCAGAAAATGAAAAATGAGACAGAGAAGAAAAGAAAGGAGAGAGAGACAGAGACAAAGAGAGACAGAGAGAGCGCTTGCACGTGCAATCATGTCTGATAATTCAGCACAGGTGCTGGAGAAGTAACTCAGCAGGTAAAAGCCCTAGTTGTTCTTTCAGAGGATTTGAGTTTGGTTCCCAGAACCCCTATCAGCTCACAAATGCTTGTAACTCCAGAAGACACCTCTGGCGTCTGAGAACATCCATATACACCCGTATACACATAGCACGTACACACATAAGCACACAAGTAAATAAAAGTAAATATTGCATTTTTTTTCATTTTTTGTTTTGAGGTGTGTGTGTGTTAAAATAATCTGGTACAGAATTAGGGGAAGACATGTGGGTTAGATGCCACAGAAAAGAAACTAGATTAGTCATTATGTTGATAATCAAGATTAAAAAAAATGATATGTGAGATTCATTCCTCCATGCCTTTTTATACTATTATAAAAAGTACTTTTTAAAAAAAAATACGGAAGACATAGTTACATCATCTTCATCTATCATAAATCCCTTCAACTGCTACCTAAAAATGAGACAACCAAAATACATAACAGAACTAGCAAAAAATACCAGCACTGATAAAAGAAAGCAAAAGGATATGCCCTGTGCCACAAGTCTGATAACAGATGGAACAGGGAAAGATTCCAATGGACAGCAGTACAGCCCCATCCCAACTCAGAAATGCATCAGGAGACATGCGGGGGATGAAGGCACAGATGTCCATCACTTTACTGTCTTCTCTATTTCTGTATCTGCAACGTTCCAGGGTTAAAGAAACAGGGTGGGGAGTGATGAAGGAAGGGAAAGAAAAGAAGAGGGAGAGGAAGGGAGGAACGGAGAGAGGAAGGGAGGGAGGGAAGGAGGCTACCAACGCCCTTCAGAGGCTCGCACAGAGCAAATTTACTTGATTTCTTTACACATCTTGGTTGCTCTCTAACTTGTCCTCTTAACACTTTAACCTTTTTACTTCCCACTGCCAAGAAAGAAGAGGGAAAAAATTAAGGATACTTCCTTGGTGGGTGGGAAATTTAAGCAACAAAACTGAACCATCCCTGTCACTGTGTGAGAGGAGACTGCTGTAACTGCAAACCAGGGCCACAGGGCTATTAAGGCAGCTGTGCTTTCTCCCTTTGCTTTCAGAAAGCAAACCAAGACTAGAAACTCTTATGTAATTTGTGTTTGGATGTGCTGTTTGAGATTACCTTCTCAGATCTGTAAGTGGTTCCATCTGTTTTTATGGGAAGTTTGGGTCAGGCTGACTTCAGAAAACGAAGGAAGGAATCATCGCATCCTTACAACTGGTTCTGGTACACTCCCTAGGTGGTATTAAGAAGTAACAAAACCAGAGGGCTGGAGAGGAGGCTCACAATGGAAAGACCTGTCTGATCTTTCAGATGACCCAGATTTGAGTCACAGTACCCACATTGCAGTTCACAACTGTCTCTAACTCTAGTCCCAGGGGTTTCAGTGCCATCTTCTGGTTTCCAGGAACAGACTACATGTGACATACAGACATACATGCAGTCAAAACACTCCTACACATAAAATAAGAGCACCCAACTGAAGACAAGTTCTCACCATCTACCAGTACCTTCGGCTACTGCCTTCACCAGGGTCTTTTTGTCTTTGTGACTTGTCAGCATTCCAGATGGACTCCACATTCCATTTCAGAGGCAGGGGTGGGGATCAACTAGGGTAATGGAGTAAAGGACAAAAGTGGAGATCAAGTTTCTCTTGAATATAGAATTCTGATTTAAAACTATTTGTAAATAAGTCAAGATTTTACACACACACGGCATAAAGGTAGAAGGAATAATATGTGAGAAATAGGAAGGTCCAGGTTAGGTAAGGAAGGTAGTGGAAAGTCAAAATACATGATATATCGAATGAAGACCATGGCCAAGGTGCTTGAATAAAAATGTCTACAAAACCCATGACACTGCATGATGAATGCGGTTAATTATTTTCTATGGTGGGAGATAAAGAGGAGTGGGCATAAAAACAAAATATGATGATACAGTTGTATGAAAGGTCACAATGAAATCCATTATCTTGTATGTAAACTAAAAAAAAATGTATTTTAAAGATAAAAGCTGGATGCATGTAATCCCAGCATTTATGGGGCCGAGGCAGGAGAATTATTTATGAGTGCAAGACCAGCCTAAACCACACACTGAGACCCTGTGTCTCAGAAAAAAAAAGAGAAACAAAAGTAGACACTACCGGTCACCAACAACTCTCTGCCTGCTTGAATAACTTTCCCAGTCCTAACTCAAACCAGTCACAGAATAAGTGAAGAATCTCAACTGCTCTCAAACTGCTGATAAAAACTCTCCTCCAGGGATCAAATGATTTCCTACTGCAATAAAAGCAGTATTGGCTGAGGGTGGGAGGAGCACAAATACAAACAACTTTGAAGGAGCTTACGGTCTTCAGGATAATACAAGACAGTATTTAGAACAGAAGGGCCTAGACCTAAACAGCCAGGTTCAAAGCCCTGCTCTGTCTTTAATCAACAGAATGACCCCAAGAATTCTTAATTCTATTAAGTTTCTGGTAGAGGTATCTTGCCCTTTTAGTCTGAAGATCTGGTAGAGGTAAAATGTCTAAGTGGTTGGCTGTTTTGCTTTCTTTGATCTTCAGGTTGAACCCTGGCACTGGGTTTTTATTATTCATGCTACAAACAATTTCTACCAACCTGTGTTACCACAGGACTCAATCAATCAAGTCAAACTGTCATGCCAGGCACCCAGGAAGGATCAAGCAAGGCCATCTGTGCTCATGATTCAATGCCTTTACTAAGAGATTATGATTACATGGAACTTACAGTGCACACTAATATAAAGTGACTTTCAACATAAAAAGCCCACTTACTAGTTAAGGAAAGCAATGCTAGTCAAACATAAACATAAAACCTTTGCCAACAGAAAGACAAGTATCTCATTTCTTTTAGTTCTCACACGAATCACAGACCATCAAAGGACAGAAGGGAAGAAAGGAAGAAAAGGGGGGAAAATATAAAATAAACTCAAATTGGGGCCAGGCAGAGTACGCATATACATCAACATAACCTTAAGAATGTACTAGCGGTGGGGGGTATGGCCCTTCGGTCAGGAAGCAATACATGTGAGAATAAAAAAGAATTTAAAAAAAAGGCTACACAAATGGCCAGATATGGTAGTGCACTTTGATACCAGCACTTGGGAGACAAGAAAGATCTCTGTGCAAAGGAAAAGAAACAAGACAATCTCTGTGAATTTGAGGCCAGCCTGGTCTACATAGTAAGTTTCAGGACAGTCAGAGGTACATAGAGACCCTGTCTCAAAGAGAAACATACACTACAATTAGATCTCAACTGCTTTGTCTTGGAGATCACTGAGAATTTCTCTGACACAGTTTACTTCTGTACTATAGTCTGTTCCATTGCTAGTACTGACTAAAGCATACACAATGCTATATTTGAATAAACCTGCTTTCAGTGACAAGGACAATACTCAGATATTTATTTCAAACACATGACAACTAAATATGTTATAAATGAACTACTTAGTAATGCAAAAAAGAATCCGTTATGAACATGAACCTTGGATACCATGTAGTACATAACAGGGCTCCCCACATTATTTACGTAAGAAACTGTATGATGTTTAGGATTTGCTTCAAAATATTATGGGTAGGCAGTGGTGAGAGTCAGGGAGTGGAGAGGAAATACACATGAAACACTTCCAGGCTAGCACTGCTAACTGCTGAGGGCTCTCTATTATAGTTCACTCTACTCCTAAACATACTGTAAACTTTCCAAACAGAATGCAAAAAGGAAGCAGAGAAGGACATGTCGGCACATGTCTAAAATCTCAGCACTGGAAAAGTGGAAACAGGAGAACCAGGGGTTCAAAGCCAGCCTCAGCTAGAGGCCAGACACTGTTGTGAGATCCATAACTGATAATGTTATGCCAGGTACTACCTCCAAATTAAAGAAGGCCAGCAGATATTAAAAGAAAAAATGGCTTCAAAAAATTACATACAGACATACAAAGAAAAAAGTTCTTAAAAAGAAAGCCATCTTCCACTGTTGCCCTGTGTATTGCACAGAACAGGTAACACGCAGGTCACAGATCCATAGAATGGTCTAGAATCCACCCTAAGTCTTTTAAGCTCATAGCACCAGGGATGAAAGTGAACTGGTACCGTCAGGCAAAAGTCACATCTGCACTGCACATGCACCAAATTGACAGCCCTTTGCAGAAGTTAAAAACACCCTCCCTCCATAGACCTCATTTGCTTCCTGTTTCAAGGTGGGGGCACTTAGGGAGAAACCAGTGTTTTCACATTCCCATATGTACCTAATTTAAAACAGACATGCTTGGCATTAGGAAAATAAAGACATAAGTTTTACTGATTTTGAGTTTAATGGCCATGATCCAAAACCAGTTCTGGCTACAAGGATATAGGGAAATCTTGATTTCTTCTTTAGACAGGCTCAAATTATTACCTGACACTCTTAACTTTTCCTACACATAATTTTTATCTAGTTTATGGAGGAGAGAAAGTTTTTCTTTTCTTCATTAAAAGAAGTGAATTACAAGGAAACTTTTCCAGGAAGACATTAACTTAGCTGCTTTTCTTTCTACTGCAGAAGCGCTTAAGCAGATTAGAAGCCCAGAAAAAAAAAGCACCAGAGTATCATAATAAATACAGGCTCCCAAAACCTCGGCAGACTATGAACACTGTCTAGATACAACCAGGGCCACGTTTGCTTTTCAAACACTTCTGAAAGCATTTGGCATCATTTTCTAATAACCCCCACAGCACTAGACTTCCTTGTTTTTTCAGTAGTATTTCAAAACCTTGACACATTTATTGAGCTATTTTTGGAAGACCTCAGTCTGTCTACCTTCAGGGCTCATGATGCAAATATATAAAAGCTACAGGACATCCCTTTAGCTACAAAGCTTGGCAGGCTTCCTGGGTCTCCAAGAAAATTCCAATTAGCTACTTTATGAGGAGTAAGAGCACAACGGAGAAGGAGCAACTGTAAGCATAAAAGACTGGCCGTGCCTGTCAGTCCATTTCTGAACCACTGAGTGACTTCCACTTAACCTCTTCCTGGCTTCTTGATTTCCTTACCTGTCATATCTCCTGAACAGAACTTAAAATAATAAATAAATAAATAAATAAATAAATAAATAAATAAATAAATAAATAAATAAATCCTTACAGTCAAATGACAAAATGTTCTAAGAATTTCTGTTGGGGAAAAAAACTAACTTTAAAATTAATAGACACTAACGAGAAGAATAAAAGAAGTAAGCCGGGTACTCCTATAATCCAGTACTAAGAAGACTGAGCCAGAAATCTGGGCTGCATAGGGAGACGCTGTGGGAAGGAGAGAAGGGAAACACTTGGAAAAGTCTGTCACAGTCAACACGTAACTGCACTATTACCAAGAAAAAGAAAAAAAAAAAAAAAGAACTGTATGAAAGCATGACCAAAAAAATTCTTTCTTGGAACCTACCCAATGTGATTTTTTTGAAGGCTCTGTTTTTACCTGAAGTAGAATCTCAAGCAGCCAAAGCTAACCTCACATACACTATAAAAGAGGTGAATAGAACTCTGCTTCCATCTTCTCATTCCTAAGTGACAGAATTATAAACACACCCACTATGCCCCGTCTTTTTTTCCTTTTGCACAACAGAACCACGGGTTTCCCTAGACAAATGCTCCACCATTGGGCTATATACCCAGCCCTGCGATGCATTTCTAACTGCAGTAATTTGTGCACCTTTTAAAATTTTCCTAAACCCTGTATTAAATATTTAATGTTTGTCTTTAAGTCGCTTTAAAATGTGCATCCACTTCCTCATTAGACTTAATAGCAATGAAGTAAGAGCTGCAAGGGTTTCATGGTCTGAGTCGGTGAGGACATTTGACCAGGACTCTTCCTTTGTGTGAGGTAGCCTTTGTCGACCTGCTGGACCTCTTTCTACCCATGTACTAAATTCCCCAGGTTTCCAGAGGACCCAGCTGGTCATTTCAAGTATAAAGATATTTTTGCATCAGGTCAAAGTCTGTGGAGAACTAAGTGAACAGTTTAAAACAACTGTAGATGCGTCCTCTACTACTCTTTAATATATTCCTGGAATTAATAATCGCAACAGCCCTGGAGGATGCGGAGATAGGTGTAACCAAAGACTGCTTGTTCTTTCCCCAGCTGCCCAGACCCAAATAATTACAGAAACTATATTAATCACAACAGTGCTTGGCCAATGACTTAGGTGCACTCCTAGCTAGCTCTTACATCTTAAATTACCCTATTTCTATTATTCTGTGTATTGCCATGAGGTTGTGGCCTATCAGGCAAGGTTCCAGCACCTGTCTTCTTTGGCAGCTACATGGCGTCTCTGTGGCTCTGCCTGATCTATCTGTATATCTCTGTTCAGATTTCCAACCTGGCTGTACTCTGCTAAGACATTGGCCAAAACAGCGTCTTTATTAACCAATGGTAAGAAAACATATATTCACATCAGATAGGCATGCAGATAGGTGGTGTGCAAATCAAAACTTGTATTTCGCCAATGACACAGCCCTACTTGCTGAAAGTCCAAATGAGTTGCAGGCCATGGTAAACAGAGTGATGGAAGAAAGTAAATGAAACCCTTGGCATGAAAGTAAACATCGACAAGACTGAGA